AAAATTAGTTAGAGAAAAGTCATTCACACTTTTTTTCACACACATGGCGTTAGCAGGTACTCAGACCCACAGTGGATAAAGTTAGTGGTGAGACAGCAATTAGAATATAAACAATATAAACCTGTGTTCTAAGGTGGAGTTGGGTTAAGGTAGGAAAGGTATATTTGGTGAATCTTGACATGGCTGGTGGGGCTGTGGACCAGCCATAAGCTTCTAGCCCCAAATTTATAGACACAAAGTTCCGTTGGGGGAAAAAAAGACAGATACATTTTCAAAAGTGTTGTGACTCTGGCCTCTTCTGGAGTCATTTTAGCATTAGGACTGTCATAAGTCACCAGAGGGCTTTTGGTCAGGGCTAGAGTACATTTGCCAATTGATCATCTGCGGAACAGAAGCCAGAACCCGTTGCTGTCTCCTCATTTGTTCCCACTTCTTAAATATATGTATTTTGGTTGCAGTGGGAAATTTGGATACAGAATTTATATTCCCAAAACTGTCCCTTAGTCTCAGGCTGCATTGTGCTTTGGGGAGGACTTTCAAAACAATAGGCTCCAGTGTGCTGAAGATGAATGGTATTTTTAAGGTATGTTTACCTGTTTGCACTTAGGGTTAAGTGTCAGACTGAATTTTAAGAAGAAAATGGAGGAATTCGGGTACATTTATTACATCCTTTTAGCAGAGTGAACCCTGACAGCTTCTCTGTTTTCCCAGTGCTGGGGACAGCATTGTCATCCAAAGACTTCATGTTTTCTTTAAGATACTCACACTCTGGCTTTCCCTCTCCATGCACCACATTCCTTCAGCCTCCCCTCTCACTCCTCCTGGATCCCTCTGATCAGCAAATGATCTTCTCTTGTGATCATAGGACAGCTGCTGTCAGCAAGCTCCCTTGTGCAGCCTGGGATCTGGGCTCAGGACAGGTGGGTAGAGGTCGGGGTTAGTTATTGTGGCCGTGTGTGCATTCTGCCAAGGAAAATAGATTGACTTTGACACAAGGAAATACTGACATTGAGAAAGGATTTGGCCGTAAAGGTTAGCATGTTCATCAAGCATCTGCTGAGCCAGGTGACCTGACTGTGAAACTTGCTCCATGGGGAGGCTGGCTTTTCTCCCCTCTATTTCTCTAGTCTGGGTGGTGAATGGGGGCTGGGTACTGCACTGTCACAAGTTTTTAGGACCTAAGGTGATCTTCATAAACTATTGGGGGAAGCTGGGAATAACTTACTGGGAAGCTAATTTATTTGTCTAAAGGGTGGTGTAGGCATCATTGCCCTCTTGTTTGATCTGCCTAGGATTTCCTCTTGGAGCTGTTGTGCAGACAGAGGTTGTACTTGGTAAGACACCAAACAAATTTCTAATGTGTTCTATGGGTTTCAATCTAAAAAAAAAAATAAAGATTTTAATATATATTATTGTATCATGTTTTCCTATTAATACTTTTTTTTTTCTCCCTGGTGCTTTCTACTCCATTTTCCTACCTGTTTCTAAGGGGAAATGTTACATCTTTTGCCTCTACTTAAACTTCCTTAGGGATTGTTTCATAGGGCTTCCTGGATGTTTAGTTAGCTCCTTTCTTGAAGCTTTTTGTGAGGTGAAGTCCTGAGTAGGACTTGGCAGAACAGTGTGCTACAAGCAGGAAGAAAAAGCTGGTTCCGCTGATCAGAATTCTTAGGATATCCAGAATTTTCAGTTTTGAAATGGAAATCCACTATCTAAACCCACAACCAGACAAGCAGATGTGCTCTTGGTGTGCTACATAGTGTGCAAGCTCTTGTTGTGTTTGGACATCACACGTGGATAATGAAGTCCTTCCTGACTCACCACGTTAAGATCCTGTTAGTTTTCTATCGCTGTGATAAACACCACGACCAAGGCACCTTAGAGAAGAAAAGGGTTATTTGGGTTTGCAGTTCAGGTAGGTGAAGGCCCATGATGGTGGAGTGAAGTCAGCAGGTACGGTGCTGGAGCAGAAGCTGTGGGCTCCCACCTTCAACCACAGCACCAATCAGAGCAAACTCGAAATGGCATGAGTTTTTAACAGGGTTTCTCTGTGTAGCCCTGAGTCCTGGGACTCACTCTGTAGACCAGGCTGGCCTTGAACTCAGAGATCCGTCTGTCTCTGCCTCCCAAGTGCTGGGATTAAAGGCGTGCACCACCACACCTGGCAGGTCTTTAACTCTTAACCCCTTCATCCAGTTACACACTTCCTCCAACAAAGCCATAGCTCCCAAACCTCTCAAACAACACCATCAATTAGGGACCAAATACTAAAAGGTCCAAGACTCCAGAATAGTTCTCATTTAAACAATCACATAGATCTTTGTGCAGACCCTGCCTGAGGTCCCCTTTGTTCCCCAGCAGATAGGTATTAAAAGTTGCGGCTGAGCAGCTTTAATATTCTAAGGCCGGCAGGCAGGGGTGGGGCAGCATAAACCCCAGTAAACATCTACAAAGTGGACATTGTCCTGAGAACTGTGGCGTGCCACCCAGATGGCAATGATTGGCCTGTCCCTTAAGCCTCTAGAGCAGGGGTTCCCAGTCTTCCTAACACTGTGACCTTTAATACAGTTCCTCATGTGGTGACCCCCATCATAAAATTGTTTCCGTTGCTACTTCATAACTAATTTTGCCACTGTTATGAATTGTAATGTAAATATCTGCTTTATGATGGTCTTAGGTAACTTCCATGAAAGGGTCACTTGACACCCCCACCTGTATCGGGGTTGTGACCCACAGGTTTGGAAACATTGTACTAGTGCCAGCAGCGGAATAGCTTGTAAGGCTACAAGTACCTCTGGAGTAATGTAAATTTGCCTGGAAATAGGACCAGGGAAGAGTGATGGAGGTGGTGAGGCTGAGCACAGCACCCCCACTGGAGAAGGTACTGGTCTATTTGACCTGTGTGTATAGCTGCTAGCCCGTAGGAGGCGGGAGTGATCTGTGCAGTGTGTTCCAGGCTGCCAGCACCACAGGAGTGAGTCCCTATCTCAACAATGACTCCAGAACTGGGGAGCTGTGAACTCAAAAGATGTAGGGTCCAGAGCCTGGGTCATGGGTTTCCTAAGGTCATCCTGTTACTGGAGTGTGCCTTCTCTTGAAAGAACAGTCGCAGACCACAGGGATTCCGCAAGTGCTCTGGGCCACGGAAGTCCAACCTTTAACAGGTGAACTAGGTGTTTTCAGTTTGTTTACCAAATTAATTTGGAGGTAAGAGACTTGAGTTGTTCCCTGAGGTTGTTTTCAAGGCAGATGGGTTGGGCTGCCTTCAGTTGGGTATGAAGGAATCTTTAGAAAAGTGAGGGCCCGGGGCTGGAGAGATGGCTCAGTGGTTAAGAGCATTGGCTGTTATTCCAGAGGTCCTGAGTTCAATTCCAGCAACCACATAGTGGCTCACAACCATCTGTAATGAGGTCTGGCGCCCTCCTCTGGCCTGCGGGCATACATAGAGGCAGAATGTTATATACATAATAAATAAGTCTGTTTTTTTTTTTAAAGTGAGGGCCCATCCAGCTAAATTCAATAAAGTGTTGAATACTCATTTTCTCTTAGAAGTACGCTGACTCAGCAGGTCTGCGGTCCCACACTCCAAATTCTGCTGCAGATTTTGCCTCTTAGGCAACGCCAGAGCCTTGGGTCTTTTGAGTAATGCTGAGCGGTCATAGCTTCCTGTAGTTCCCACAGTAACCTCTAGATGTCCCCATCACCCATGAACTGGCGATTACAGCCGCTAGCCCCAGTCCCTGAGAAGGGGACATGAGGAATTTAGGGAAATACTTAGAGACACACAACCACTGAAGGGTGTGTGAATTTGTTGCTTCAACGTGGGGCCAACTTCTTGGTGAAATGTCTACCTCAAGTAAAGGAATGTCTTGAAACCAAGTTAGTCTAAGGAGTTTCCAGTAACTTTATCTGCAGTAAAATGCTAGATCTAAACCAAAGCTCTCGGATTCCAAGGACAACCCAAAAGTTGTAAAACTGAGATGGTTACCCCACAGAATTAAAACTTGTGTTGTTTTGACAAAGTGTTGTTTTTAGTATTTTTTTCACTTTTGTTGAATTTAGCAGATAAGTAGGCCCTCAACCATCTACCTCATTTACACTGTAATTCTCCAGTAAACCCTAGCATAACTAGAGCCACCCAAGTTTCTTCCAGTATGCTGCTATACCGGTCCCCTATAAATGCACATACTTGCTACATGAGGAAATAGAAGTGCCCCCATACTGAACAGGAACCATTCGACTGCACTCACAGCATCCCTGGGACGTGGAGTGTGGGTGGGGCAGTCAGAGTGTAGACAAGAAAGGGAACGCCCATGTCCTACAAACAGGAACTAGGGCTCGTTCAGATAATGGGTATATTAAACTGTCAGTGTTTATTGAATGAGTTAGTGTTTTCAAATAAGCATAATAATGTGTGTCCGTTTCCTGCCACTGTGGCAAAAGCCAGATAGAGTTACTAAGGAAAAGGTTTATTTGGTTCATTGCCTTGAAGGTTCCAGTTTACTACTCACAGGCCTCTGGAGAAGGCCGGTAGCTCGCGTCGTGGCAGGAGCAGTTGGTAGAGCAAAATGGCTCACCCACAATTCTCTTAGAAGAATATGCTCCCACCGTCTGTCTACCCAATAACCCGAAGACCTCCACCAGGGTTCACCTCTGACTGATTTCAACCACTTCCCCATGATGCCAAGCTCGGGACCAAACCTGGGTATTTAAAGTTTTCTAAATATAGGCAGGGTCTCACTATGTAGCCATGCCGTGACTGAACTTGGTACGTAGACCAGGCTGACCTTGAACTCACAGAACTCTGCCTCCCTGGTGTTGAGATTAAAGGTGTTGAGATTAAAGGCGCTTCGGATCAGATTCATAAAACTAGCTATGAGTGGGCAAATACTTATCCTAACTTTTGTAATTCTCACGTGATACAATTTCCCCTTATCTCGGGAGTTTCCAAAACTCAAATACCTCCCGAATCGACTTTCTCTTGCTTTTGCGGGATTGGCACCCAGCCTGCTGCTGAGCTCACTGTTGTCTCATTTCCCTCTCCAGAGGACCAGGGGCGACCTTGGTCGTTCAGCTCAGTCCTGCTCACATTCCGGGGAAGCTTCTCCACTCAGCTGACTCCGGGTCAACAAAACGCTTCCTGCTTGGCGAGTTTTACCGTCTTCCTGGAGTTGGCAGAAAAGCTGACCTCCTACGAGGGCTCGGCACCAAAGGGACTCCTTTTGTGGGAGTCACAAATGAGTGGTTGGAAGTGGCCATCTTAGGGCCTGCTGTCACCTTCCTTGAGGCCTCAGGCATGTCCCAGAATAGGCCGCGTCCAGTGGGATGGATAGGGGCTCAAGTCTCGGGATTCCTGTAGTCCGGCATCTGTTTGGGTTTTGGTTCCGGTGGGTTTCAAGTCTGAGAACAGCAACTGGCTCAACCTCCGCGAAGGGCGGGCCGATCATCGTAGCGGCACCAATCCTGGGCCGTGCCCGCTTGCGGGCGGCGGTGGATCCCGGGTCTTGGACACTTAGTGACGGAAGCGCGCGGTCCGGTCATGCTTGGTGGAACACTCTGGCTGCTGCTGCTGCTGTTGCTGCCACTGCGACCCCCGGGCACGCAGGGTCACCGCGGTGCCACAAGCTCGGGGCAGAACGACGAGAAACCGGCCGCTTGGCCGGGCGTCCAACGCCTGAAGGAGCATCTGAGGACGGTCGGGACCCTCTCCAGACAGTACTGGGGGGTTTTCAGCTGCACTGTGTGGCCCGATCACTGTCAGGACCAGGAGGCCCCCGCGCCGCCGCTGGGTAAGAGCGTCCCCGCCGCCAATCCCCTAGCCCCCCTGCCAACCACATCAGCATCGCGCCCCTAGCAGGAGCAGCGACAGCCTCCGCGGATTAGGAGGCCTATCACTGCACATCTGGTGCAACCCCTGGGGACAGCAAGAGGTCTGACTGCCTGCCGCCCCTCACCTGCCCTGATTCCTCTAGACACTCACAGTCTCCCTATTCTTGCTCGCCTACTGATGACTCAGGGAAAGACCTTCGTAGACACAACCGGTAACTGTCCCCAGTCCCCAGATACATTCGCCTCAGTGGCTCATGGAAGCGGCTCTGGAGCACTTGCTGGAGCCTGGCTAGGAGTTGGGACACAAACTCCCGTTTGAGCGCCGTCCCTGAGAAACCTCAGGGTTGTCTCTCATCACTGTCTTGCCGTCTCAAAGCATCTCCTTTCCAGGCTGGAGCCTTCCTCTGTGGGGCCGGCGGTCCCTGGATCGCCTCACCGAGTGGTTCTGCCGCTTTCAGGACTGCTGCACCGGTGGCGGGGACTGCAGGATCTCCAACAACTTGACAGGTTGGGGCTGGCATGATTTCCAGGGTCCAGGGAATCTGTGGGGAGGGGGCTGGCGACTGTGGAGAAGCGACTGGTGAGAAACTTCTCTCCCTCGACAATAAGAGGACAGTCCCCAATAAGGGGACAGTCAGTCAGGTCTGCGGTTATTTGAGGGTCTCTTCTGACAAGACTTTGAACTTTGAATATAAGGTTAGCCTTGGCTATGTAGAAAGACCCAGTATCAAAAGCCAAAACAAAACAAAAAATAAAGTATCTCTAAGTTTAAGCAGCAAATGTCGGTGGTGGGTATAACCTGGGCTTCTTGGTTTATCTTGATAAAGTAAGCCTGCGGGGGTAGGGGTGTGGGGGGGGTGAGCCCTCATCCTGAGAGAAACAGGAAGTTATTTTCCATTTTAAACCATTTCATACCATTCCATGGATGAACATTGCCCTATCAGACAGTCTGTGCACCCCCAGCCTCCCCCAGCCTCGCTGCATGAATACAAATAAACACTAACAAACTTTCTCCCCCTGTATTTTCTATCACGTTAGGTGAATCTAGTGCATGCGTAGGTGGTCTAGTGCATGTTGCAAGTAGTTTACATTTTAACTTTCCACTGTGGTATTTAGCCTCAAACACAAAACCTGTTCTGACAAAGGCCCAGGGCTTAATCCTTAGCAGACTTTCCTGATTTCCCCAGAAGCTGCTCCTCACCTGGAGGTTACCTGGAGTTCTCCCATTCTACCTCTTGCATCTCTGTCACCTTGATCGCAAAGTAAACATTAGGGCACTTAATTAGAAAAAGTGCCAATGGGGTATATAGTGCTTGTCATACACGCATTGAGAATTTGAGTTCAGTTCCCAGCACCCACATAAAAGTGAGGCACAGTGGCATACAGAGTGGGGTGGGCAGGAGGACCCCTGGGACTTGTTGGAAAAGCCAGTGTAGCCAAACCTAGTTCTGAGTTCAATGATTGGTCTTGCCTTAAAAAAACAAGCTGGAAGCCTGGCAGTGGTGGCATATACCTTTAATCCCAGCACTTAGGAGGCAGAGGTAGGTGGATCTCTGAGTTTGAGGCCAGCCTAGTCTACAGAGTGAGTTCCAGGACAGCCAGGACTGTTATACAGAATCTCAAAACACCAAAACCAAAACGAACAAGCACAACAAGGTAGAAAGTCGTTGAGGAAAATGCCCAGTGTGAACCTCTGGCCTCCGCATGCAATCCCGCTACACACACACACACACACACACACACACACACACACACAAGAACACATACTCACAGGGAGGGAGGGAGGGAGGGAGGGAGGAACAGACCAGCAGTGACTCAGTGTCTGGAGCAGGGTCTAGTCCCGGGTGGAATCTCAGGGCACACACAGGTTAGGAAGCCTGAACGTGCATTCACATCAAGTCACTGCCCTCCCTTTAGATGACCCACTGCTCTCCAGGGCCTGGAAGTCCAGATCTGCAGCCTCCTAGTTCTGATGCTAGGGGAGACAGCTCTAAGTAGCCGTTCTCCAAGGTGATGGCAGTGTTTTGTAGTAGACTGTCACCTGCCAAGGTTCCAGAACTTCAGCCAATTGGCCTTCATAATAGGGTAATGGCTGGCACCTTACCCCAGCTGGCAGTGCAGCCTCCCCGCCTCTGTGCCCCTTCAGAGGGCAAAGGAAAGCAGACCTGGCATTGGGAAGCTGCTCTCGAGTATGTGCGGGGTTGGGGTGGGTGACAGACAGCATGAGCTCCTGGATCAAGGATGGGAGCAGGTACCCACTGTTTCCCCGGAGTTCAATCTTGATTTCTCAAATGCTTCAGCAAATGACTCTTGAATACCTTCTGCTGTGAGATCTGTCTTGCTTCTTGTTCTGAGGTCACAGGGATGTGGGGCAATATTATACAGGCCACCTATTTCTGCAGCCAAGCTCTCAAGCCACAATAGCAGCTGAGGTGCTAAAAGCATCTTCAGACTGGCTGTCTGCGGAGCTCAGGATGCTGATGTTGGGTTGCTCCTTTCTTCGTAATTACGGAGATCGCCTGAGAAGAGATATTGATCCAAGCTAGGGACAGAGCTGGCTTTAGTCCTGCTATTCCGGAAGCAGAATGCTAATGAACACCCCCCCCCCCGTTTACTTTAGGAGATAAAAGCTGTTTTGAGAATAAACCGGGGATCTTCAAGATTTGAATGAACCCTGAGACTCCCTTCCGATACTGCTGTGTGATCTGGGTCTCAAATACTTCCGCGCCTCCACGCTGGTCCAGAGAGATGGTTTATGTTGGGGTTAGACCCCGACACAGGGATCAGAGGAATCCCATCAGAAGAGATGGGAGGCGGCACACACACGCCCCTGTACCTCTCACTCTGGCCTCTTTTCTCCTTCCAGGCTTAGAATCAGACCTGCGTGTGCGACTGCATGGCCAGCATCTGGCTAGCGAGCTGGTCCTAAGAGCTGTGAAGGGCTACTTAGAGAAGCCCCATGGAGACAAGGCCCTGGCTCTGTCATTCCATGGCTGGTCTGGCACAGGCAAGAACTTCGTGGCCCGGATGCTGGCGGAGAACCTGTATCGGGATGGACTGAGAAGTGACTGTGTCAAGATGTTTATCTCCACCTTCCATTTCCCACACCCCAAGTATGCGGACGTGTACAAGGTGAGGCCACAGCGCTGGTGAGGCCTCTGTGCCCAGCTAGGCAAGCGGAGATTCTGACACCACCAGGAGGTAGGCTTCAGAGCAGGCAGGGACAGGCAGCGACAGGAACAGAACCTGTCCGCAGGCAGCCTGGAGCGCATCGCCAACAGAAACACGGGTTGAAAGTAGTGAAATGTAGCTGGGTGTGGTGGCACGCGCCTAATTCCAGCGCTCGTTGGCTGAGGTGGGGAGAACTTGACGTCGAGACAAGCCTGGGCTGCATGTCTTTAAAAAAAAAAAAAAAAAGAGTGACATGTGGATTAGAAAAAAAAATGTATAAACTATACCACCCCCCTCCCCAAAGGTCACAGCCTCCTTAGCTTACTGCAGTTAGTATTCTGGACTCCCCATGGTCTCACACACATTTGCACGCACGCACGCACGCACTCAGCACGCACGCACGCACGCAGCACACACATGCGCACATTCTGGCCCCTGCTGCTATCAGACCTTTTCCCGGATCTTTCACACCATCGTAGCTTTGTTAGAATGTTCGGCTGGCATCTATTTCACTCCCCCCAGCCTTACACTGGGCCACGAATGCGTGGCTGGTCTTTACAAGCATAAATGCCTGGAAAGCACGAGCTAACCCTGACACCAGCCTAGAGAACTAACATGGCCGCCAACTGCAGGCGGAGAAGCTTGTTTCAGATGACTTGTTCGGGCTTCTTCCCCCTCAAGTGTGTCATTGAGCAATGAAAAAAGCAACAATGATGATTTGAGCCTTCTGCCTCAGCCTCCCAAGTCTTAGATCACAGACCTGTATTATGCTCACTTTTAAAAATGTGGTTGCTAAAAATTGAACGGAAGGCCTCGAGCATGCGAGACAACAGTCTACTACTTAGCTACACTCCAGCCATCTTTAAAAGGCATATCATGGCATGTCATCATATCACATCATATGTGATTCCTCAGTTCTTCCCATAGCAGCTTGTTACATGCCAGCAGGCTGGTGGACCAAATGTTCCTTTACTGCTTTGCTATTTGGAGTTTTGTTTTGTTTTGTTTTTTTCACTTTTGCACTTGTAAAATTAGCCTGCACATAAGCAAACAGCCGTGACCGCACCCATGTTGGCTTTCAACCGTAATACTTGGAAGTGTGTAAACTGGGAAAATTATGTCAGCCTTGAAGACAGCTTGCCTGAGTCACCTGATAGTTTCAGTATGGCCCTGGAGGGCAAGGGCAGGGTGTCCTGAGACTCAAGACATGCTGATGTCAGGCGATCGACAGCTGAATTCCAGGAGGAATTCTCTGGCAGGAACTACAGCCAAACTGCTTGAGGATCCGCTTCCCCACCAGAAAACCGACAGGTTGTCAAAGAGATGGGGATGCCAAGGAGACTGAGATGGATAGATAGTGTAGATTTTCCAAGCTGCCCTCAGAAGCAGCTGTGCCCAGCTCTCAGAGCTCACAAAGCTTATGTTTGGTGGAGGGTTTACTGTGTTGCGGTGGGGCGCCCTTTTGATAACTAACCCTCAAGTGTGGCTGGCAGCCTCTGGGCCCTTGAGCCGTTCCTCTGTCTGGGTTGTTGAGCCCAGAGACTCTGGCTCTGGGGACTGAAGTGGCCGTTTGCTCCAGGATGGGACTTACTAAGTCCTGGAGAAGGCACCTGTCCTGTGCTTGTTTCCTGCCAGAGGGGCTTTTCTCGTGAACTTCCCAACGCGTCTTCATCCCAGGTGGGGATGCCCAGCCCCAGCGCAGCTATGAGAGTCACCTGGGAAGCTTAGTACCGGGTGGGCCCAAGCCAGGGCTGGGGTTTGGTAAATATTGGGGGTGGAGCCCGGCTTCGGCGCTCCACCGCGCTGAGGAAACAGGAGGCCATGCTCCTCTGGGGTCTGAGCTCACAGTGTCCTGTACAGGAGGAGATGCGGTGGCAGATGCAGGAGACCCGGTGGCGCTGCCAGCAGACCATGTTCATCTTTGACGAAGCAGAGAAGTTACACCCGGGGCTGCTGGAGCTGCTTGGACCGCACCTGGAACCCAGGGTCCCCGAGGCCCAGGGCGTGGAGCCGCCGCGGACCATCTTCCTCTTCCTCAGGTGAGGTTTGAGCAGGAGGTCGGGGAGGGGAGTAGGGGACTGATTGTCAGTCAAGACCTTCCCGAAAAAAACGCATCAGAAGCATCAGGGATAGATTTTCGGTTAGCCTTTTTTTCATACGATGTGTTTTGATCGTGTTTACACACACATTCCAACCCCAGTCCCTAGATCCAATCCTCACCCTCCTACCCATCCAACTTTGCGTCCCTTAAAACAAAACGAACAAAAAAATCACATCAAGACCAATTTGTGAATCCCAAATATTCTTGAATGTGTGACCACTGAAACGGAGTCAACTCAGCAAGGGTTACATGGAGCAAAAAGAAACTCCCCCTTTCTCGGTAGCCAATAATCGCCAAGAGCTCCTTAGCTAGCTTGGGACTTGGTGGGATTTGGTTTGTCTTGGGCTTGCACAGACTTTGAGCATGCTGTCACAACTGCAGCGACTTCATAGGCGCAGCTGCCCTGCAATGTCAAGAACTCTGTTTCCTTGTAGCCATCTACCACCCCTGGTCTTACCGTTTTCCTCCTTCCTCTTCCGAAATGATCCTTGAGCCTTGGAGGAGTGGGTGAGGTGTTTCCATTCCATTTAGAGCTGGGCAGACTCTTGACGCTGGGCGACTTGTTCAGTTGTGGGTCTCTGTGTTAATCATTGACTGCAAATAGAAGCTTTTCCGACCAGGGCTGAGAGATGCTCTATGGGTCGGTCTAGAGATAAGTCATTAGGAGTTTGTTTAGTACTATGTACATTTAGCAGAATAAATAACACATCTCCCTGTAGGGGAGATGTGTCTAGTCATTGGTTCTTGGCCCAATAATGGTACAGGTATTGGGTTTCAATGTATAGTGTGAGACTTAGATCCACTGGAAAGTGGGGGTTACTCCCATATGTAACTCCCAATTCTGTGTTACCCTCGGTACAGTTCACGCCCCCTATACCAGCTGGGCAAGGGCCTGGAGATTGAAAGAACACACAAGAGACCTGGGTCATTCGAAGGGAGATGAGCCGAATGCCGTGCCGTTTATTCAACCTTGGGGACATCTTTAAACACCTAGCTGCAGCACAAGGAATCCCCCCAGGCAGGTGGGAAATTGCCGTACCTACAGCTAATCACCAGGCAGGGCAGAGGGAGCACAGGAACAGAATGTTTTAGCTGGCTGAGCAGAAGCTGTCCTCAAAATGAACCCCAGGAGCAGGGGTAGACCTGAGCCCTACACCCATGCATTATTCCAACATCCTTTTAAAAAAATTTATTGATTTTGATTGAGCTCTACATTTTTCTCTGCTCCCTTCCCCTTCAATCCTCTCCCAAGGTCCCCATGCTCCCAATTTACTCAGGAGATCTTGTCTTTTTCTACTTCCCATGTAGATTAGATCCATGTATGTCTCTCTTAGGGTCCTCATTGTTGTCTAGGTTCTCTGGGGTTGTGATTTGTAAGCTGGTTTTCTTTGCTTTATGTTTAAAAACCACCTATGACATGTGATAATTGTCTTTTTGGGTCTGGGTTACCTCACTCAAAATGATGTTTTCTAGCTCCATCCATTTGCCTGCAAAATTCAAGATGTCATTTTTTTTCTGCTGTGTAGTAACTGCATTGTGAAAATGTACCACATTTTCCTCATCCATTCTTTGGTCGAGGGGCATTTTGGTTGTTTCCAGGTTCTGGCTATGACAAACAAAGCTATGAACATAGTTGAGCGCATGTCCTTGTGGCACGATTGAGCAGCCTTTGAATATATACCCAAAAGTGGTATTACTGAGTCTTGAGGAAGGTTGTTTCCTAATTTTCTGAGAAATCACCACACTGACATCCAAAGGGGTTGTGCCAGCTTGCACTCCCACCAGCAATGCAGGAGTGTTCCCTTTTCCCCACAATCTCTCCAGCATAAGTTGTCGTCAGTGTTTTTGATCTTGGCCATTCTTACAGGTGTAAGATGGAATCTCAGAATTGTTTTGATTTGCATTTCTCTGATGACTAAGGATGTTGAACATTTCCTTAAGTGTCTTTCAGCCATTTTAGATTCCTCTGTTGAGAGTTCTCTGTTTAGGTCTGTACCCCATTTTTTTTATTAGATTATTTGTTCTTTTGATGACCAATTTCTTGAGTTCTTTGTATATTTTACAGGTCAGACCTCTGTCTGATGTGGGGTTGGTGAAGATCTTATCCCATTCTGTAGGCTGTCATTTTGTCTTGTTGACCGTGTCCTTTGCTTTACAGAAGCTTTTCAGTTTCAGGAGGTCCCATTTATTAATTGTTTCAGTGTCTGTGCTGCTGGGGTTATATTTAGGAATGGTCTCCTGTGCCAATGCTTTCAAGTGTACTTCCCACTTTCTCTTCTATAAAGGTTCAGTGTGGCTGGCTTTATGTTGAGGTCTTTGATCCATTTGGATTTGAGTTTTGTGTATGGTGATAGATATGGATCTATTTTCATTCTTCTACATGTTAATATCCAGTTGTGCCAGCACTACTTGTTAAATATGCTTTCTTTTTTCATTTGATATTTTTTTGCCTCTTTGTCAAAAATCACGTGTTCGAAGGTGTGTGAATTCATATCCGGGTCTTTGATTCGGTTCCATTGGTCCTCCTGTCTGTTTTTATGCCAATACCAGGCTGTTTTCAGTACTGTAGCTCTGTAGTAGAGTTTGAAGTCAGGGATTGTGATGCCTCCAGAAGTTCTTTTATTGTTTAGGATTGTATTGGCTATCCTGGGTTTTTTGCTTTTCCATATGAAGTTGAGTACCATTCTTTCAAGGTCTGTGAAGAATTTTGCTGGAATTTTTGATGGGTTTTTCCAACATCTTTCAATATTATTTACCCCTTCCTATATTCCCTCCTTTACTTTGTCTTTCCTTCCCTTACCCCAATTTAACGCTTCCTGTTCCATTTTTCCCATTTAACCCTTTATGCCAGTGTGCCCTATCTTCCCTCCTTTAAAAACCTCTCCCTGTGGCTCCAAAGTAATTCCTGACCTCTGTGAGTAACTCCCAATAAAACACACATATCTGAAAGTTTAAAGTTAACACTCAGAAATGAGAGGAAACTTGCTATTTGTCTTTCTGGGTCTAGGTTACCTCAAATGATTGGTTCTAGCTTCATGCATTTGCCTGTGAATTTCATCATTTCATTTTTCTTAATAGTTGAGTGATATTCCATTGTGTAACTATGCCTCATCTTCATCATCCATGCATCAGTGGCTGGACACCCAGGTTTTCATAACCTCGCTATTTCATAGCGGCAACAACCATGGATGAGTATATATCTCTCTCTATGGTAGGAAATACAGTCCGTTGGATATACGGTCGAGGCTGGCACAGCTGGGGCAAGTGGTCACTCTTAGTTTTCTGGGGAGTCCTCGCACTGATTTCCATAGTGGCTGCATCAGTTTGCACTCCCAAGCAGCGAGTGTTTCCTTTCCCTACAACCATGCTGGCATTTGTCTTTGTTGGTTTTGTTTTTTAATCTTAACCATTCTGACTAAGGTAAGATGTAGTTGGAATTTCTTTGGATCACCAGCTCCCAAATAAAATGACACAGAGCCTTACTTATTATGAAAACTTGGCCTTAGCTTAGACTTGTTCCCAACTAGCTCTTATAGACTTAAATTAACCCATTTATATTGATCTGTGTTCTGCCATGTGTCTCATTGACTCTCTTCCATACTATCCATTAAAGTGCTCTGTCTCACTGGCAAATCCTACCTCTCTTCTTCCCTTCTACCTAGCTCTTCCTGAAAGTCTTGCCTGTTCTCTCCTGCCTAGCTATTGGCTGTTCAGCTCTTTATTAAACCAATCAGAAGGTCGCAGAGACACATTTTCACAGTGCACAAAAAGATTATCCCACAACAGTAAGATAACATCGCAAAGTAGTTTTAATTTGCATTTCCTTATAGTTAAGGATGTTGAGATTTTTTTAAAAAATGTTTCTCTGTGCTGACTAGTTTTTTGCCAACTTGACACAAACTAGGATCATTAGAAAGGAGGATAGCCTCAGTTGAGAAAAATCTCCATAAGATCCAGCTGTATGGCATTTTCTTAATTAGTGATTAATGGGGGGAGGGCCTAGCCCATTTGGGTAGTGCCATCCCTGGGCTGGTGATCCTGGGTTCTACAAGACAATATGGAGAAAGCCAGAAGCAAGCCAGTAAGCAGGTTCCTCCAGGGTCTCTGCATCAGTTCCTGCCTCCAGGTTCCTGCCCTGCTTGAGTTCCTATCCTGACTTTCCCTAGTGATACGCAGCAAAGTGGAAATGGGAGAAAAATAAACCCTTTCCTCCAGTTTGTCTTTGGTCATGGTGTTTTATCATAGCAATAGTAACGCTAAGACAGCCATTTGTATTCCTTTTTTAAGTTTATTTTTATTATGTGTGTTAATTGGTGTTTTGCCATGGGTGTTGGGTCCTCTAGAACTGGAATTACAGATAGTCCTGAGCTACCACGTGGGTGCTGGGAATTGAACCTGGGTCCTCTGGAAAAGCAGGCAGTGCTCTTAACCACTGAGCCATCTCTCCAGCCCCACCATTTGTATTTCTTTCATCCTTTGAGAACTCTCTATTTAGTTCCATGTCCCGTTTTTAATTGCTTTTTCGTGATGTTTAATTTCCTGAGTTCTTTGTATACCTAGGCTCTAACCCTCAGTCAGATGTGTAGCTGGTAAAGATTTTCCCCATTCTGCAGGCTGTCTCTTTACTTCAGTAAGGTTCTTTGTTGTAAAAAAATCTTTTCGTGACATTAGATCCTGTTTACTAATTGTTGCTCTCAATGCTTGTGCGACTGGGGTCCTGTTCAGAAAGTCCTTCCATGTGTGTATGAGTTCAACTTTACTTTCTATTTTCTCTATCAAATTCAGGATATCAGGTCTGATGTTGGGGTCCTTGATCCACCTGGAGTTGTTTTGTACAGGGTGAGATAGGAATGGAGTTTTATCCATCTGCATGTAGCTATCCAGTTTGACCGCTTTTCTCCAGTGTGTAATGTTGGCCTCTTTGTCAAAAACCAGGTG